CGACGGCGCTTCGGTCCGCTGGACGTCCAGACGTCCATCAGCACTATCGTCGAGCTGCTCACCTTCCGCAGGCAGGAGCGGGAGAGCGTCGACGACGCGATCACGCGCTTCGAGGCGCTGCGCGCGCGTGTGGCGCAGCTTGACGACCCGTTCGTGCTGCCGACGCCGGTGCTTGCCCTGCTCTTCTTGGAGGCCCTGCACGTGCCCAAGGCGGTGTATCCCGTGGTGCTGCAGGGCAACAACGGCCAGCTGCCCACGACGATCGACCAGCTGAACGCCGTGATTGGAATGGTGCGGCAGCAGGGCCACTTCGCAGAGCACACACAGGCAAGGCAACAAAACCTGGTACGAGGACGAGCCCGGCGACGAGGACTCGATGACCGACGACGACGACCTGGACGTCTCCGAGTTCACCCAGGAAGAGCTCCAGGAGTACTACGGCGACGCCGAGGGCTGGGACTACGACACCCTGCTGCATGAGTATCTGTTCGCAAAGCGTAGGTTCCGCCACTTCGTCCAGCGTAACAGCCGCCGCGCACGCTTTCCTCGCAGCAACTGGCCCCTGCGCATGAGCAGCGGCAGGGGCGACAACACGAAGGGCGGCAGCGGCTTTGGACGAGGGCGGGGTCACGGCAAGGGCTATCACTTCGGAGGGTCGGTGGTGACTCTTGGATCGCTGGTGGGCGGCAAGGGCAAGAGGAAGAATGGAGGTAACCATTTCATGTCAGGTACGCCCGGCGCCACCAATCCCCGAGGAAGTGACGGCCGCACCATGCAGTGCCACGAGTGCGGCTCGGAGACCCACCTCGTGGCTGCCTGCCCCAAGCGCAAGAACAAGAGCAAGGGCAAGCACATCATGTCTTGCAACGCCGGCAGCTCAGGGATGGGGCCGCAGCAGTCTGGCGCTGCCGCCTCTGAACCAGTGCTGTCCGCGTACGCGCCCGCGCCAGCGCAGCCGCGGACTGGAGCCCTGTCTGGAGTACTGCATTGGTTCACCGAGGACGTCCGGGCGCCCGGCCTGCAGATCGACGACCTTGACGAGGTCAGCGTCCGCGGGGCCTTGGACTGGGAGGCCCTCGACATGCGCGATAACATCGCCGAGCACGACATGTTGTCGGAGATCCAGGCCAGCGCGGAGGACCTGACCGTGGAGGAGCAGCCTCCAGCTAGCCAGAGCCTGATCCCAGGTGGGGTGGCTCCTAGAGCCATCCCGGCGTCTGGGCGACCAACGTCTGCGACGGCCGCGAGCACTCGCCCAGAATGGTTCCCATGGTGGCGAGTGGAGCAGCCCGAGGACGCCAGCGGGGAGAACTACCTGGTGCGCACCCGCATGAAGAACCGGAGCGGCGAGGCCCTGCTGGTGGATCCCTGGAGCCCAGGCAATCTTACTGGCGACGAGTCGGGCAACAGGATGGCCCAGAGACAGCGGCGAGCAGGACTCCCACCGCCAGTTCGCACGCCCCTCGATAAGGTTCTTGAGGTTGGCGGCGTGGGCTCGGGATCTCAGCAGGCAACGCACTCCCATCGCTATCAATTGGCACTACAGGGGGGGCAAGACGCGACCTACGAGGCGCCGGTGCTCCCGAACAGCAGCGTGCCGGCGCTGCTTGGGCGGAAGGCGCTGCGGGGCCAGCGCACACTGCCCGATTGCTTCAACAGTCGGATGTGCTGTATAGGTCCGGGCGGCTACTCCTTGCAGCTGAGTCCAGAATCGGCGCAATACCACCTGGAAGAGAGCCACGCCGGCCACCTCGTGCTGCCCTGCGACCTCTATGACGAATCGACGGCATCGAGGAGCGCGGGATCTACGAGGACGATAGCACTGACGACTTCGATTACGTCCGATTCGACAGTCTTGCCAGCAGCTACCTCACCTACTCCTGCATCTACCAGTACAGTGAGCAAGAAGGTTACCACTCCGACACCACCAGGCAGCGGCGACGCAGCAAGCAGCGTCAGCGGGCAGCCCGACGCGGGCAGCCTGCACCGCTGATCGAAGACACCCCATCTCGGTGCTCGGGACGGCGGGGGGGCCTGGGAAGAACGGGGGAGACCGCCATCGGCATGGGTATCTGGCGACTTGCAGAACCTGTGCCAAAACGCGCTGCACGGATGCGGATATGTGGTGGATCGCGACTGTGACGTTCACCGATTCCTCGGGCAGGAGGACAGGTGGGCGGAGTCCCTGCGCCACCACCAGCCGGAGCTCGTTTGGATCAGTCTGGCTCAGCCGGGCACTGCGCGAGGCGCCCGCAACGACAAGCGCGCCGAGCGCTTTGAGTGCAGGATCGCGCGAGCTCAGCTGGATGGGCACCGCTACTGCGTCGTCGAGGCGGACGAGGGCAGCGCGGTGTGGGACATGCCCGACATTCTTGAGCTGCTTGACGACAGACGGTGGTACACAGGACGACTACGATGGTGCAATCTTGGTGTGCGCGACGCTCGGGGATTACCAGCAGCGCAGACCACTCGCATCATCGGCAGCGGTTACTTTGACGACTACGATGCGAAGTGCCGCTGCGGTTGGCAAGCAGGTCGACATGTGACGCGGAAGACAGCTGCAGATCGGCCAGACTTCAAGGCCAGAGGGGCATCTGCCTTGGTCAAGCGGATGGCGGCCGCTGGGCGCTTCGACGGCGGCGCAAGATCCGACCCAGTCGACGGATCGTCGTCATCTGCAACGGCCACATCGCGCCGCGAGGCCAGGGGTGATTCCCGACCCGGGTCGTTAAGAGCAGATCCGACGACTGCCGGGCCTCCAGGATCGCGGACGGCGGCCCTGGAAGGAGCCGACGAGGAGCAGTCACGATGCGAGCAACGTCGTCCAGGCCGAGTTTCGTTTGCCGACGATGTCGACGACGCCGGCTGCAAGGTGGGCGCTATGACCGCAAGCTTTCCCACCGAGCAGAGGACGCGCGACAAGGCGCGCAAGGCAGCAGACCCGGAGCGCAAGGTGAAGAAGAGGCCGCAGACGGTGGAGCAGGTCTTCGACGATTGCGGCTCCGACTTCACGAAGCTCTACGTGACGAACGAGTGCGAGCTGGATGAGGTCTGCTACGGCGTCGAGCTCAGGGAAGACCAGCGCGTCGATGAGCAGCCGTGCGTCATGATGTCCGAGGCCTTTGGCATGACAGGCTCGGAGGCGCACCTGAGCCAGAGAGACGAGCAGCATAACTTCTTCAGTTCAACCAGCGACGTGGTAAAGTACATGGATCACTACTACGGCCACCTGCAGTACGACGACGTCGCGGAGTTATGCGGTGGCGCATCTGGGACGACACGGCTACTCGCGCGGCGAGGATATCGAGGTGGCCCCAACATCGACCTCATTTGCGACTGCGACCAGATGCCGCACGAGGGTCAGAGTCAGTTTTGGGGTATTTGCGCAAGTGTAAGCCTCTTGCCCTGCTTATCAGCACGCCCTGCACGGGCTTGAAGGGCTTTTCGGCGCTCAACAGGGTCATCCACTACAGCGGCTGGCTTCGCAGTCGCAGGACATCCGCGGGGCTGGCCCGCATCGCCGCGGTAGCGGCGCGCACGCAGATGGACGCCGGCCGCCACTTTGTCTCGGAGCAGCCACTGGGCAGTGACTTCTACAAGCTCGACGATTGGCGATGCATCGCCAACAACTATGCGGTGGTGTGGTGCCAAGTCGACCAGTGCATGGCCGGCAAGATCGGGATGCGAACGGGACTCCCGATCAAGAAGTCCTCCGTGTTCTGGGCTTCTGACGAGCACCTGATTGCCGGGCTCAGGAAGTTTCGGTGCGACGGCCAGCACGAGCATGCTTTGCTGGCCCATGGCGGCCGAGGATCCCACCCGGAGCGGGACAAGTGGCGCCTGGAGAATCCCAAGGATCACGCGGAGTGGAGAATCGACCATGAGCATCCCCCACGTGGTGGAGCGCGTGAGGCACCGGGGACATCACCTCGTCGTGTTCGAGTGCCACCCCTCGGCTGCGGTGCAATCTGGCCGCGCCGGCTCCTCTGGTTCATCGGCGCCAGCAGCTGCAGCCGCAGCATCATCAGCAGCAGCTTCAGCCGCAGCATCATCAGGGGCAGCAGCAGCTGCAGCACCAGCAGCAGCAGACGCCGCGGCACCAGCAGCAGCATCGGCAGCATCAGCCGCAGCAGCGCCCGCTGCTGTGCCGCAATGTCCTGGGTGTCGGCATCATCGGCCGGCGGACCACACATCCCATAATCGAGGAGAAACATGCAGGCATAGACTGGGGAAGACGCGCGACCTGAAATGCCCGGCGTGCCGGAGTGGGCGCGCGGCCTCAGACACACGACATACCCGGATACCTTGAGAGTGCCGAGCAGACGGTGTTCTTCAAAGAGCAGTTGGACCTCGAGAGCTGCGGCTGCGGCAACCGCCAGCCTCCGAGGAGCCGACGGTGAATCGGGCACCGAGCGCCGCTCGAGCCGACGCGCCAGATGCCGAACCAGAACCGCCACCGCCTCCACCTGCTCAGGCAGAACGTCGACCTCGAGGGGATCGAGCGGATGGTCCGCGACCTCGATCTCGACTGGCAGCAGCGCTGGATGGAGCAGAGCCGGCCGAGGCATCAGGCGGCGCCTCAGGATCGGCTGACGCCGTCGGCGATGCACCTGTCGAGGGGCAGCCTGTGGCAGCCCCAGCCGGACGAGCTCAAGGTGTGGATGTGAGGGCGCAGGCTCGAGCCAGTGACGAGCCAGGCTGGGCCGCGTTCGACCTGGGGCACGCATTGCGGCTGCTTCACAGCCCACATCAGGATGCCGTTCGGCGCCAGCTTCGCCGACTTCATGTTCGATTCTGGCACGCTCCAGCAGCTCGCCTCAGAGAGCTACTGACCAGGGCCGGAGCTCCTGCGCCCACGCTGGCTTGGTGAAGGAGATCTGTGATACGTGTTGGGTGTGCAGGCTATGGGCGAGACCAGGGCCGAAGAGCATGACGGTCTCGCGGCTCGCGACGGGCTTCAATGAGATGGTCAGTGGGGTATCCTCTACATCGGCGAACACATGGTGGCCCATATGATTGATGGAGCGACTCGCTTGACAGCATTGCACATCCTGGACCGCAAGACGGCAATCATGATCATCGCAGGCATCACCGGCGGCTGGATACGACCTCATGGCCCAATGAAGCTGCTGATTGCCGACGTCGAGGGCGGCCTCCATGGCGAGGAGGCGTCTCAGTGGCTAGATCGCTGGGGCATCGAGATGAAGGCCAAGGAGGAGGGCTCGCACGCGCAGCTGGTGGAACGCCATCACGACCTGGCGCGCAAGATCACCCACCGCGTGCGAGGCCAGCTTGCGGAAGAGGGCATTGTGATGCCGTTGGAGATCGTGGTCGCGGAGTGTGCCCTCATGAAGAACCTCCTCATCACCGTGGCAGGCTTCAGTCCCTACCAGGCGGTGTACGGCCGGCTTCCGCCACTGCTCTCGGAGTTCGAACCGGTGAGCGATTGTCAGATTGACGATCAGTCTGCTGGTACCCCGGGCATCTCACGACACCATCATCGGCTTCGCGAAGTGGCAATGCAAGCCATGGTGGAGACGACCGCGAAGGATAGGCTGCGGCGTGCGCTTCGATCCAAGACGCGCGCTCCTCAAGAGGCGCTGCAGCTGGCTGTCGGCGACCAGGTTGACTTCCACCGGCCGCCGAGCACGCAGGAGGAGTCGGGGTGGCGCGGCCCGGCAACCCTGCTGCAGGTCGGACCTCCAGTGCTCGTTCGATGGCAAGGCCGAGTATTTCAAGTGCGACCTCAGGACCTTCGACGAAGCCTCGTGCATGTTCACGAACAACATCTTCTTCGAGGCCGGATCGCGCGACCCGGTGTCCACCATCGTGAGCTACGCAGACCAGCTGGACAGCAAGGTCGCGCGCGTCGGGTGGCGCCCTTCGACGCCGGGTGGAAGCGCACCGCGGACAGCCGGAAGCTCAGCGAGCTGGTCTTGGCGGTGCTTCATGTTGCAGCCGGTGATTTCTACTTGGTGGGCTGCATCGGTGCTCGAATGGGCAATGGCGTATCCGTGCTCGCAGAAATGGTCGGGTGTGACCACAGTTTCCTGTGGTGGTGGCGGCGCGGGTACCATGAGGCGTCGGGGCCCGCTCGACTGAAGTTGGTGCAGATATTTGGCAAAGACCACTGGCGGGATGTTAGCTTTGTGCAGGTCATTCTGACTGACGACGAGTCCGTTCGAGAACTTCGGCGACATGAGCCCGAAGTACCACGTCTAGGAGGTCCATGGTTCGGCAATCTTCCACGCGCGCGGCGATATGAGCAGCCAGAAAGACCCGAACCCGGACCGTTTCAGGACCCGCCGGACCTGCAGGAGGAGGATTTCGACATGCCCTGGCAGGACCGGCCGATCCCCGACACGAGTATATCTATCGAGTGTATCTAGACAGACGAGTGCATCGATACTGGCGCCCGACGCGAGCATAGCAAGCGCATCCAGGCCGACGAGTGCGATATCGAATTCTACGAGGAGTCGGAGCGACCGAAGGCAACCTCGACCACGAGACCCTTCCCCGGCCCCGGCCGTCGCCAACGACGTCGTGCCGCCGGCGAAGTCAAGCAGGGGAGCTCGAGAGAGATCGCGATCGCGGGATGATCCAGACCGCGACCATGGAGCTCGAGGCTCAAGTGGGCCAGCAGCGGAAGCTGGAGCTCCTGCTCCACTGCATGAGCCGGTGCTTCCTATCAAAGGAGATGATGGTGAAGAAGACGACGGCGATTCGGACAGTGACGCGACCCAGGAGTACGCGTTCGCCAGCTGGCAGTACATGAAGGAGCAGGCCGCTCTGCCCGCGGTTGACACCGAGTGCGCCCAGAACGGCTCCTTCTTTGCAGCCCCGGACGCAGATCACGTGACGGAGGCCATGGAGGAAATTTCTGTGAATTGCCGACCCGACTGCGTCGAGATCGGCATAGGCGCTCCGTTGACGTGCTGGGTGTGCCCTGAGGCAGAGCATGTTCGACGCCCTGGAGCAGGTGAGATCTACGTCCTGCGCATCTACAACACGGGCCAGCGCGAGATCGTTGTAGAACGTGAGATGAATGTGCTCCCGCTAGAGGAAGCCCGAGCTCACGAAGTTGAAGTGCGCCAGGCCATGAAGGACGAGCTCCAGCGCTGGGCGGGCTTGAAAACATTCCAGCGCTTCCCGAAGGACCAGGCGGACAACGTCATTGACTCGCGCTGGGTGCTCAAGTGGACGGAGATCGATGGCAAGAAGCAGGTGCGCGCGAGACTCACGGTGAGGGACTTCGAGGACATGCAGTCCCCGGAGCTATCTACGTTCGCGGGCACTACGACACGATGGGGACAGCGACTGGTGAACCAGGTGACGGCGCAGCGCAAGTGGCGACTGTTCTCAGTGGACATCAGCCAAGCTTTCTTGCGCGGCCTCACCTTCGAGCAGGTCGCCGCCATGGGCGGCGAGGTGAAGCGGAAGGTGCAGTTCACCATGCCGCCAGGATCGATTCCGGTTCTCCGGCAGCTGGAGGGCTACGAGGACTACAACCCTGTGACAGAGGTGTTGTTGCTCCTTCGCTGCGGGTTCGGCCTTAAGGATGCGCCGAGGCTGCGGCAGGTCATGTTGAAGCAAGTACTGGAGAAGACTGGGGGCAAGGCGCTCATCAGCGACCCGCAGATCTACGTGTGCCACAACGCGAAGGGCGAGCTTCAGATGATCATGGCCTCGCACGCGGGCGACCTGAAGGGCGGCGGCGAGGGCCACCTGCGGGAAAAGGTGCCGAGCATGATAGATGGCGAGTTTGGGAAGCTGAAGCGCCAGTACGACCGCTTCGAGTGCATCGGCATCGTGCACGAGCAGGACCTGGTGACTAAGGTACTCTGAACGCAACAGCAGTATTACGTTCAGCAGCTGCGACCACTCCAGGCGGATCAGTACGCGATGGAGAACGAAGATGGCCAGGTGAGTGCGGGGAGCCACACGGCGCACATGTCGCTGCTCGGCGGAATAGCGTGGATGACGCAGACGATCGCACCAATAGCAGTAAATATCAGCTACCTCCAGCGACAGGCCAAGAAGCCGATCGTCAGGGACATCGGGAAGATCAACCAGCTGCTGAAATGGATCATGGCGAACGTGAAGCAGCTCGGGGTTCGGTTCATCGAGTTGGACATGACCCTCGTACGGCTGGCCGTCATCAGCGATTCAGCCTTCCACGCTATGGAGTTCGAAGGGCTGGCGATCCGAGGCTGCGTGATCAGGTTGCTGGAGACCAGTGATGAGGTGCTTCAGACGGGATCGACTAACCGGATCGTGATGTTGGACTGGTACAGTCGCAAGCAGAACAATGTGATCAGGTCTACGTACGCGGCGGAGCTGATGGCGCTGTTGGACGCGCTCGGCACTGGAACTCTCATGAACGTGGCGCTGACCGAGATCAGCGAGGGTGTGTGTGCACGGCGAACCGGATGCGCGTGCGACAGGAGGCTGGCGATTTGCTGTTGAAGACGATCGCCGCCATCGACGCGAAGGCAGTGTTTGATGCCATCTCCGCCGACACCATCAAGACCACCACGGACAAGCGGATGTTCGTGCCGACGCTCGCGGCACGAGAGCAGACTGACCGACTACAGCTGGCTCAGCTCAGTTGGATCGACACGATGGACATGTCGGCGGACGGGCTGACGAAAGGCGAGATCGACTGGACTGCACTCGTGAGCTGGGCTTCAACTGCGAGTGGCATCTGAGTGGACTGCAGCCGGTTGCCTTTTCTGTGCGCAGCTTTCTGTAGCGCCGCGCAGAGCGCGAGAATTCCCGACCCGAGTGAAAGGGTGCACGGGAGAGCGGGAGAGAGCATAGCATCATCTAGACCGCGTGCATGTCAGCTCTGGCATCCCGCATGTTCTGTAGCCGTTGCGGCTTAGACTGGCCGAGGAGCTCGGCCGAACTGTCGACAGACCGAGAGAGAGAGAGAGAGAGAGAGAGCGCGAGGAGTCCAATAGTGCGGCAGCGATGGCGATGGTGACGACCTTCATCCAGCGTGCTGCCCGGCCGTTCGGCCACTCAGGAGAGGAGGAGAAGAGCACCAGTTGTCATTCGACTCCTCCTCCTCCTCCTCCTCCTCCTCCTCCTCCTCCTCCTCCCCCTCCTCCTCCTCACCTCCTCCTCCTCCTCCGGGCGCGGCGCGTCGCTGGGGCCGCCGCGCAGGCACGCGTGCCCGACCGCAGTGTTCCTGAGGGCCCCGTGGCGGGCGGAGGGTCTTCGGTGGCACGGTTGCGCGATGGAGGAGGAGGAGGAGGAGGAGGAGGAGGAGGAGGAGGAGGAGGAGAGGAGAGGAGGAGGAGGAGGAGGAGGAGGAGGAAAAGGAGGAGGAGGAGGGAGGAGAGAGAGGAGGAGGAGGAGGAGGAGGAGGAGGAGGGGGAAGGAGGAGGAGGAGGCAGGAGGGAGGAGGAGGAGGAGAGGAGGAGGAGGGAGGAGGAGGAGGAGGAGGAGGAGGACGAGGAGGGAGGAGGAGGGAAAAGGGAGGAGGGAGGAGGGAAGAGGGAGGAGGGAGGAGGGACGAGGGAGGGAGGGAGGATTTCCAGGATTTCCGCCATCACGTAGTGATAAAAAGGCTGAGCTCAGCACTTGGGAAACAGGTCGCGATCGATTCGATTCAAATACTCGCGCCTGGCCTTGGTGATTAGGTGGGGCCGACAAGGATTACCTAAGCCCCTGAGCTGGGCCTGACCGAAAAATCCGCACGACCCACAAAACCATAATCCAAGGTCTTTGTGATACCGAAGGGCGTGTGAGGGATGCGTCCAGCCACCTGCCAAGTGTAAACTCCGTCCAAGGGGGGGCTCGGGATAACTTGTCATTCACAGGCAGGGGAGGGTTGCAAGCGCTTTTCAACCATTCGGACTCTTTATCTTTGGAACTCGAACTGAAACAAACCGAACACGCTCTGCCATTTTCGGTCAGGGTGTGGGCAGAAGCGAAACGGGCGAGGGCGAGAGGAGGAGGAGGCCGAGGAGCAGGGGGGCCAGGCGGAACCAGGGGAACCCCATCATTGGCCTTGATGACCTGGGAAGCCTGAATACAATCCAACCCTACTCTAAGAAGACGCCTCCTGACTAGTCTCGCTTTGCGTTCGACTTGGTGCACTCGGAACCTGTCGGTCTCGGGGACCCTGGCCAAAGTGGCGGCCGATCCCGCAAGCACATCAACACACGTGTTCCCTATCACAAGCCAGCTGTCCCACCCACGCTGGAGAGCCTCGCTGGCCGACAAATGGGATGGGACCTGCAAAACAACAATATCACTAGCACTCCTGTCCTGAGCAGCAAGGGTGAGACCGATGCTGCGCCACAAATCTGCCTGAGGGCCCTCAGGGCTGGCACTCTTAGACGCATACCACCCTCGGGCGACCTCGGCACAGTCAGTGATGTAAACTATGGGCCCAGTCGTGAATCGAATGGTCCATTCGAAAGCCTGAACCTCACCCCTGGGGACCGTTTGGGCCGACCCCACCAGAGGTCCAAACAAAAACGGACCGAGCTCGCAAGGCACAAAGCTAGTAAACGTGGCAACCGCACACCCTACCCTACGCAACCTACTATCATGGGTGTCTTTTCCCCCCGAGGCGTCCCCGAAGACGAACAACGGCTGGTCCCGAGTCCCTTGGCCGAGACACCCAGGACCGAGACGCCCCTCGGGGAGATTCCTTCCGAAAAAACTTCTTCCTGAGCAGGAGCAGTAACGCGGGTCCACTCACTGGGGATCACACTCCTCATCCAAAAGCACGGGCACGCTTCATGTTCTGCCTGAGCCTCCACGGCCAGACAGTCGGATTGGGCATATGCTGCTGACCCCTGGTTTTTACTGCACAACCAATTGCGGTGCAGAGGCGTGTCGACCGCCTCCTCGCACCGCTCGCACTGGTCGGAGCTGCTGAGGTTGGCCGAAAATTTACGATCCTGCGTCCAGTAGCCGCCCGTGGCGATGGTCACCATCAACTCCGACAGCTGACGGCCCTTCTTGGCGTGGAGCAGCATCGTGATGTAGGCACGGTAGCTCTGCCAATCAGCTCCCTGCTCTAGGCCGCCGCCACAACACAAGCCAGCTGCCTCTTCCCAGAGTTGCCTGTACAATGTGTCCTCGAACTCCTGCAAAAGTGGCTGAGCCTGGTCCAGGCCAACAAAAGCATCCGTGGAAAACTCCCAAGTATGCTCCATATTGCTCCCGTCACTCGGCACCTGCCACTCTGTAGCAGACTTCAAGATCCATCCAGCTTGTAACAAATACAACACTGCTGAAGACATTGGCCCGCGAACGTGACGACTCCGCTGCCCAGCAGGGACAAGGCTTAGCTTATCCACCGTGCGAGACCACGCCAGTCGAATGGATGGACGAAGTCGTGGTTCTCGCAACCAACAATCAAGCCACTGCGTGATGCAAAGCCTCGGCAGCACCACTCCTGGATCCGCTCCAGGCAACCGTAGAGCTAACAGAGATGTCAAGCAGCGCCCCCGCTTGTGTGACCCCGCTGCAGCTCCTAACCGTCGCCTGTGACTCAGCATCACCGACCCGAAGCAGCCCAAGACCTGGTGGCCATATGAGGCCGATGCCTGAGGGCCCGTCCTCTGGATCATGCTCGTGGTCGACCACCGTCTCGCAGCTGCCGCAAAACGTCGAAGCCGTTGGTGCGACGTCCCTGACTTCTTCACGCGCTTGCGCGCTGTGTCCCTACCGTGGCGACGTCCTCCCGCGAGATCGATCCCAAGGTAAGCGGCCTGCTGCACTGGGGAAACCTCGATGCCGAGACGACGCAACCTCCGAGCTACCTGCACCGCGTCCTGGTGGATGGAGCACACCACCACACTCTTTGCCGCGATGCCCAGCTTGAGCCTCCGAAACTCCTTCACCGTGGTAGCGACCGCTTTCACCAGAGTGCCCCGAACATGTTCACGACTGCCCGACGCGCGCCCCAGCAAGTCGTCGATCCAAATCCTCTGAGACATTGACGGGTGAGCAATCGCCAACTTCTCGCATACAACTGCTGTGATACATTTTGCAAAACGAGTGCCACTGCGCGATCCTTGAATGACCGACTTCGTGGCCTGGAATGGTAACGAGTACGAATCCAGCTGAGACAATAACCTGGGCGCCATGAACAACTGCGCCTCCAAAAACAACACTACTGGAGGATAGCCTTTCCTGATCGCACACTCCGCCAGGATGGGCCATTCGATGCCGTCGTAGAAGGCCTCCACGTCCAGCAGAGCCTGCCCGTGGGGCAGGTGCAGGGAGGTCTGAACCTCGTCCTCCAGCGCCCGCGCGAAAGCCTCCCTCAGGGCGCTGTTCCCCGCGAGGGCAGCATCCCAATAATCATCGATCCCCACCCGACTTTTTGCCGAGCAGGCGCCCCAGTACGCACAGCACCTGCCACGGCCAGCTGAGGCCCTGCTCGATCATCGTGAACAGCTCCACGGGGTCACTGATGGCCTGGTCTGGCAGGCGACTGAAGTCCGAGGGAGACAGCCTGTCCACCCCTTGCCCCGCACGGGGCTTCATCTTGGCCAGGGCTCCCCTGACCTCCTCGATGGAGAGGGGTACCAGCTGCTCCACCTCAGCGTGCTCACGTATCATGTCACACGCCCGCATAATGTCGTCGTGCTCTGACACCTTGGAGGACCACAACTGATGCCACCGAGATATTTTGCAGTCAACAATCTCCAGCGGGTGCACCAGCTTCTTATCCCCGATGTGATACTCGTCCACCTCTGGGGCCAGATCTTTGATGGACCTGTGAACTGCGCCCAAACTGTCCACCGAACCAATCCAACTCTGGAAGTCGCGAAGAGACGCCGAAGCTGCACGATTCTGCGCTCTCCTCGCCGATTTGAACGCCACCTCCTCCAGTAAAACGAGCTCGTCCAGGGTCTGAGCCTGCAAACTCCGAAGTGCTGTAAGGAATTGGCCCCAACTGATCCCGAACACGCCTGCAAAACATGAACCTGCTCCGTCTAACGGCTGGTCCGCTAAACCCAACGCTGCTTGCGCCAGATGCCCCATCTGCAAGCTGCCGTTGTCACGCCGCCGATGTCGACACGCCTGTTTGAGGATCGAATGCCCTCTGCTCCACCATGCTGCCACCCCATCGCGTAGCGGCTGCGACCTGACTCGCTCTGGCTCCCTGACTGGGCCGACGACCAACTGAACGCCGCTGGCCCTCGACTGCATTGGTGCCGCCCCTCCGTGGTGAGCCGCAATAGCGCCCTCGACCGCGGTCACCCATCGGGCGAAGCAACTGCTGATAGGCAGGATGTGGCGCTGCCCTGCCGAGAAAGCGAGGGACCGTCTGATGGGGTTCCAGACGTCCTCAAGGGAGTGTGAGAGCCACGGAGTTTGAGCCGCAACGGCTGTCCAGGTGGAAAGGGGGATGGCGAAAGAGGGAAGGGCGGCCGCAGCGGCATCGGCAGACGAGGGCGGATCAATCTGACCGTCAGCCGTGCTGACGCCCGAGCCCCCAGGACGCTCGACAGTGGGGACCGCAGAGACATCCCTCAAAACTTCGCCAATTACAGGAGACCTTTCATGTTGCGGGGACTCCCCAGCTTCAACAACGGCTCCTAGAACACAGGCATCCTGGTTGCAAGCTGGCCGAAAGCGTGAGTCTGACGCCCACGGGTCCTCCTCCTCATCCTCGAAGGCCCCGAACTCGACGAGGTCCCCGAAATCGTCCGAGCCGCTTCTGGGCTCAGCC